GCCTCCGCGGTCCTAGAGCCTGCCCTGTAGGGCATGTCCGCAGCCCCGCTCGGCTGCGGGTTCGCCCTGCCCCCCCGGGCCGCCGTGAGGCCGGCGTGTCCTGCGCTCTCCGCCCGCCTCCGACCCCGCGGGCCCTCCGCCTTGGGGCTGAGAGTGCGGGGACGGCCCTCACGCATGTTCACTTCTTCAAATCTGGCCCTCTTTGAAAAAAGTTTGGACACCCCTGCTATAGAGGCAATCATATGGTCCCTCAGATGGAAGGTTATCACCCATTAGCCTTCACTGTAACTCTGCTGTAAGCATTCCAAAATCTCATTTACTTGGCTTTTTGGATTATCAGAAGGCAAAGAGGCAAAAAAGAGAATTATTTAAGGATTTCATCAGACATTCTTTCTGCTGTATAAAAATCTCCCCCCACACACATACAAATGTTACTAGAATGTCTAGTAATGTTAGAATAAACCCCACTGAAGGTAGATTCTGCTTTGCTGGACAATTTAGGAACATCTGGGTCAACTTTTAAATTCTTCACCTATCCAAGATTTCAAGCCAAGTACCCATTCAACTAGCTGATTTACACCAAATGCTTCTGCTTGGAACATGTGCCCCTCTGGAAAAATAGGCAAGAGGTGTGCTTTAAATTTCATAACCATAATATCCCTTAATAGGATTTAAGATGACCGAAATACATTCACCTTTGGTTCATCAGATGCAATTCTAATATATGCAAGGGATTATGCATCGAAAAAAGACATTGAGTACTTGGATTGCTGCAAGTACACTACTACTAAATTGTCATTCAGTTGTATTACAATTCATATTCACACAACAGGAAACCAGGAATATACAATTTTTACACAGCTAGCTGAATATTAAAAAGGAGCATTCTATGATAAGATGCTGCTTGAAGGTGGAGTTTTCAAAAAAAAAATCACTCAATAATAGCTTAACTTAGGCTAAATCTATATTGCCACAGGCTCAGGGGTGTGAAAAAACATCCCTCTCTCCCGAGTAGGAATGTTAACATGTAGTCGACTATATGATTAACCAATAAGCCTAGGCTTAATCTTGTCAACTACACACATTTCTCCCCGCTTGCTGCCTCTGTATCAGAGGCAGCAGCGGGGAACAGGGGGGAGTCAAGCAGGAGCTGATGCTGGGGGGAGCCCCCTCTCCCCAGCACTGGCTCCGTTGTGCCACCTGCCCTCTCCCTGCGGAGTAGCTTCTGTCTGCGAGAAGCTCAAGCTCCTGCACAGACAGCGGCTGCTGCCAGAGCAGCTTCAGTCCATGGCCAGCCCAAAGTGCTGCAGACAGAGGCTACTTCGTGGCAGCCTCCCCACCTCCAACCCCCCTCCCATAGCAGCCTCTGTCTGCGGGGAGCAGCAGGCAGCCATTCTACATGGGGAGCTGCTTTTTAAACTGGTTCCCCTTGTGGACCAGCTCCCTCCTGGGACCCCATGCTGCTGCCTGGGACCCCCCCTTCGGTGCTGGGCCCCGAAGCGAGGCAGCAGCGCAAGGTGGCAGGGGGCTCTCTGGGAGAAGGACTGGAGTGCACTGGCTTCTGTAGAATAGTTGAGTAGCCAATAGTGACTTCATTTATTTTATTGTTGGTCACTTTCTTGGTATTTGAAAGGGAGTTTATGATGATACAGTTCCTACATTCCCCAGCTTACTGTCTGTCTTTAATGAAATTATTTTGATACTGTCATCTCATGCAATCTTTTGTCTTTCAAGAGCATTTTGTAGGTAAATATTAGGGATGTGAATGGTTAATCCTTAACTGGTAAGCATCACCCTTTGCTGAGTGATGCTTATCGGTTATGGTTAACCAGCTAGGGCTGGAGAAGGCAGGACCTGGGATTGCTACAACCTGGCTAAAGCAGCATCCCCTCCTCTCCCCTCTCCCCCCCTCAGCGTCCCAGCACATTGCGGGCATGGATGCTCCAGCCCACCCTTCCACATTTAATCAGTTAACCGGTTAAACATAATGTTTAACCTGTTAACTAATTAAATAGGATTTTATACCTTGGTAAAATATGCACAACCACCTTGAACTCAACTTGTTGCTTGTTCAGCACAAACTTGTATTGTTGTTGTTAGGGCATATTGGACATTGTCAAAGAATTGTATTGGTTTTATTTTTCTCCCCCATTTATTTTGATTTTAATGAGGCCACTCCCTGCATATATAAAGTTAGATCTTGGCTCTAAGCACATTGCAAGGCACTCTTGCCCTTTTGCAGTAAGACATTTTTGCGCGGTGGGCACTCTCCACCGTGAAAGAATATCTAGTAACTTGCTTTTCCAAAGGCACCATCCTGTGGCTTTTTTCCTGTGTTTCCTAATGCGATTAATACCTCTGGGCATTTGTAAATACAGTCAGGGGAAGATGTAAAAAGCACTCAGCACTGGCCCAGCTGCTCCTATTCAAGTTAACTGAGGCTTTCTCAACACTTCTCAAAGAACAGCTCAGCCCTGGCAGCGCTTGAAAATGACCGTGTGGTCAGGGTAGTAATGCTGGGAGAGCTCGCTGTCCCAGTGCTCTAGGTAAACTACCTCCACCAGGGGAGTAACTAACTGTGCTTTGGAGTGCTGCTCCCAGCACTGTAGCCTGGTTCACACTGGTGCTTTGCAGCCCTGTAGCTTGCTGCGCTCGGGAGTAGGGATGTTAGCTAGCGGGTAATTGAATAGTTGAGTAACCATATGAATTCTTATTGGCTACTCAACTATTCTACTTAACTAATCTTACCAGTTAAGGATTAACCATTCACATCCCTAATATTTACCTACAAAATGCTCTTGAAAGACAAAAGATTGCATGAGATGACAGTATCAAAATAATTTCATTAAAGACAGACAGTAAGCTGGGGAATGTAGGAACTGTATCATCATAAACTCCCTTTCAAATACCAAGAAAGTGACCAACAATAAAATAAATGAAGTCACTAGTGGCTAGCACTGGGCATTCCAAATTTGCAGCCAGAGAACAATTTTTCCCCCTCCATCCTTATCGTCTAATTCTTTTCCTGTGAAGAAATGGCATAAAAAGAAGAGATTGTGGTGGCGCAATTTCAGATTATCATCACCCTAGAGAAACAGGGCTATTTTTTAATCGATCTCTGTAGCTACCAAGCCATCACGCTGAACTATGTATCAGTAATAAAGCAATGGAAAATTGACTGTGTAAATACAGACACTTTTTAGATCTATTTTGAGTAGTCCAGTAAATCAACAGGAAAAGGACAAATAGGTCCCTAATATGTACTGCCACAAAGCCTCGCTTAATTAGCATAACACATGCAGATCCAATATATATTTGGTCATATGCTTTTGGATTAATAAAACTATATTAACAAATTAGTTTTTCAGAGCAAGGTGACATTTAAATTGCTCTGTTTTGCAGTGACACTTGCTACTGTTACTGCAATTAAGTTTGTGCTGAGAATGTAACACCTAAAATAAAACTGATATATTCAACTATGGAAGTCATGAGAGTTCATGCCCCAAGTCACACAAATTACTGTCCAGAGTTAGAGTGAGGTATTTGGAGGAAGCAGGCAATCAGAACCCAGGCGAGAAACAGCAGGGTTCATTAAGTGCAACCATCTTCAAACCTGAAGTGAAGACAGGGGTTTTGTGCTAATGGGCTGAACTGCCTTACTTATCAGTACTTAGTCATATGCAAAATCCTAATGAAAAACTAACGATGGCCACCCATTTGCACTCAGAGAATTTTCAAATAGAAACAATTTCTATTTGAAGCTCTTAATGGGCTTGCAGGCATTTTACATATGGAGAAAATGAGGTTCAGAGCCAATAAATGATTTTCCCAAGATCACACAGACAGTCATTGGCAATTAGGGATGTTAAAATTAGATTAATCAAATAATAGAATAGTCGATGGAATTTCCATTGACTATTTGATTAATCGATAAGGGCGCTTCCACTTTGAAACGTAGCAAGAGCCCGCTTGGCTGTTGCTACATTTCAAAGGCAGAAGTGCTGCGCAGCATCCCGTCTTTGAAATGTACAAGAGCCTCAGTAGGGCTGAAATGCCACATGGAGCCTCTGAGTCTGTCCCCGCCTCCAGCTCAGACTCCATGCAGTGCTTCCACTTTGAAATGTAAAAGAGCCTCAGTGGGGACTCTTGTACATTTCAAAGATTGAAATGCCCTTGCTGTGCCTCGCCCAGTCCAACGGAGTTGGAGCAGGGGGCAACCAGCTTTTAAGATGGCTCCCCCCAGTACCTGCACCTTACTCTCCCCCCCCCCCACTCCCCCCCCACAAGTGGGGGGGAAGCAACTCGTCGACTAGTGTGTCGACTATCTGATAAGCTTTTGCTTATTGGCTAGTCAGCTAGTTGCCTACATCCCTATTGGCAATACTAGCCTAGAACTTGCTTTCCTGTGCCTACCCAAAGAACACCCTCATTCATTCTGCTCCAGCAATTACATTGCAAATTCACCAATCAATAAACAGCAGTTAATTCGCTGACAAAAGAAAAAACCAAAAAGTCAAAGTTTTCAAGTGACTTTCTGCCAAACAGCTGGTACAATGATTAGAAGTTGAAATCTTCTACTGCCTCTCCATCACCCATACATGGCACTGCATGGTTTTGAAAGAAAAGTCCAGAAATAAAAATAACACTGTTGGAGAGAATCACTGACTCTCGAATACTTTGCAACACAATAAGCAGGGCTCGCCAAACCACGGCGAGTCCTGTTCGCCAGCAGCGCTGTCCGGCGATCTGCGCATGCACAGATAGTTCTGCGCATGCACAGATCGCCCAAACTCAGCTCTTCCAGGTTGCAATCTACTCGTCACGAGCAAGTAGATTGCATTATTTGTCGAGCTCTGACAATAAATATTGGGCAACATGGATCTGGACATTTGAAACGTGAACAAAAATACAAGGTGTTTTACATATTAATCTTGTGCTACTTTGAAAAAATATACAATCTACTGTAACCAAGTTTCAATTATATGATTAGCAATGCTCACCGACACTGATATGTCCTCAGTTCTTCTTTTAGAGCTGGAGTCAAATAAAACATTTCGCCCTCTTCTTTCACAGTCTTGGTACACAATCAGTCGGATCTGACTTGGGTCAAACTCCGGTAAAGGCCAGCTTGAATGGAAAACAAAGGGACAGAGGTGTCTGTTACTACAATGAGTTATTACATCATTGCTTTTACCATTTTTGTATGCCTGACTATTATTAAAATATAAAACTCAAGACATGCAATGGCAACTTATTAAACATTTTGACCCTATGGCAAGCATCATGCCTACGTAGCAAGAGGGTTAAATCACACACTGCTGTAAATTGGTGTTACTCGGATGATATCAGTATTCATCATAGTGCCTATCAGCATTTAACTGCATTACTGAAAAAAAAAATCCATAGAGAAGCCACCCACCCTTCCATAAAGGCCCAAAAAGTTTGTGTTAAAAATGTGCCATGATTAGGCTGGCAGTCTTATAGATGGGTTCAAACCAAAACCCTAGATTAGAATCACCCAAGGCTCCAGGAGAGCGTACATCTGCATGTGGCTGGGGTCTATCTCCAATTACTGTAATTGCTGCATTCAGACACAGAGAGAATGACAGTTCAGGCCACCACCATCATCATTATAAGCTCTTGTGTTACTAGACTGGGCCTTTATTGAGATTGTGCTTTTTGGTCCCTTCTGATACAGAGGCAGCAGCGGAGGGCTGCAGGCAGTTCCCCAGGAGCACGGAAGCTGGTGCGCCCAGGAGCCAGACCCTGAGCCTTGTGTAGCCATGTAGCAGTTACCCGTTCACATGGCTATACTCTTACATCCCTAGCTAGATTACAATCAGCCTGGAGGAATTTAAGCAGCAGTAAATACAGTTCCTTGGGTCTTTTGGGGGAGGAAGTCCATTTCCTAATCAGCTTAGCCCCACAATTTAGCAAGGGAGGAGAAAAAGAGAAGCTACAAAGAGGATACTATGTAACAAACAGTAAATGGGCAGGAGGGGGGAAAGAAATACAGGAGAAAACTTGAGCAATTTACAACTGAAATATATTGCTGTCCAGAATTTGAGTGTAAGAGCCTGGTTTTGTCTTGGTATACACTAGGGATGAAAGCAACTAGTCATGATAAAGCTAGGCTTATTGGGTAGTCAAGTCATTAGTCAACAATTTGCTCCCCCCCCCCACCCTTGCTGCCTCTGTATCAGAGGCAGCAAGGGGGAGAACAGGAGCTGTACTGGGGGGAACCAGCTTAAAAGTTGGTTCCCCCCCAGCACCACCTCCACAGGGGATGGTAGGAGGGGCAGAGGTGCAATGGGAGAAACAGCGCAAGTGGGGACTGAAGCTTGCACTGGGTCCCAACAGCTGTGCCTCTGCCTTTTAAATGTAGTAAGGGGGCTCTTACTACATTTAAAAAGCAGAGGTGCAGCAGTGGGGACGCCACGTGAGTGGGGAATGCTTGAGTTCCCGTTCGCCCCGGGTTCCCTGCTACGCCTCAACCTTTTAAGTATACTAAGAGCCGCCTGCAGCTGGTATAGGGAGCGCCTCCCCTTATCGACTAATCAAGTAGTCAATGGAAGTTCCATCAACTACTCCATTAGCTGATTAACTGAAATGTAACATCCCTAGTGTACACACATCAAGCTAGTTACCCTCAATGAAAACTGCATACCTCAGAAGGAGACACGATGGCTAAGTAACTAAATTCTAGACAAAAAAATTCTACCATTAGCTACCATGACTATTAAAACAGGACAACAGAATTGGAGTACAGCGCTTGCAAACAACACTGGTCCTCTGCCCTTCTCCTACTTCTCCTGCCAGCAGTCCCAGTATGCCTTGGGCCTGTAGTCAACTGGAATTTTGCCATTTATTTCAGTAACAGCAGATTCTGGCCCGGTAATAGTATAGGCAAGTTCTGATTGACAGCTGCCATGAGAATCCATTCGAGAGATGGTGGTATCCTCTCCCATGAAGCAGAGCAAATGTCACTTACTGTGAAACACAAACACACAACTATTAGTTGAGACGGCACCAGAAAAGAGCCATTTGAGAGAGACACTAAGCCACTATATTTAGAGCAGTTTGGCCCAAGTCAACTCCCTGCATGCAATCTCTAGTTACTGAAGTGAGTCCAGTAGATCATCTCACACTCACAGCCTTAGTAGGAACCATATGGTTGAGGGATCTCCTACCCTTAGAGTGGAAAGTTCAGAAATCATTCTCATAAGCTATGCCATTGACACTATTATAAACAAATCATAATAATCCATTGCTTACAAAATTATTATTTTTGCTTGTCTCACTCCTGCAATGCATTTGAATTTGCCTCTCTCTTAAATAAAAGCATGACTTCTATTAGTACTTCAGCAATTCGACTATGAAATCTTTTCACTATCCTGGCAAAGGAAGGCAGGAACCCTTACAGCTGTTTAGGAAAGTCCGCTTATAACATGCCCCAGGAGCAGATTACACACGAAGAGGAAAGCAAGCTAAATATAAAACCCTTGCTGCATTCGGCAACGTATTGGGTCAAGATAACAAGAGCCTGTTTACTTCTCCATTCCTGTACATGTCGTTTTACCTTTCTTGATACAAATATTCAACATGTGCTATAAATCATATTCATGATAGTCCCAGATAAGTGTGATCTCTGTTACATAATATAGCTTTAATGCTCTTTAGCCTTGCAAAATATTCTCTGGCAGTACTGGCGTGTTCCCTGAATCAAGAACACTAGCCGAGGAGTCAATAAATAGATGCAGGCTGGCACCTCAAACTAACACCTTGTCCATTCAGCATTTAAGGCATGTCTATACCGTAGTTCGACACCCATGGCTGGCCTGTGCCCACTCACTAGGGCTTGCACAGCTGTTTAATTTCAATGTAGATGTCTGGATTTGGGCTGGATCCCAGGCTTTCAGACCCTGTGAGGTGGGAGGGACCCAGAGCTCAGGCTGCAAACATCTATACAGCAATTAAACAGCCCCGCAATGCGGGCCCCTCAAGCCTGAATCAGTTGGCCTGGGCCAAGCATAGTGCCTTATAGCAGCACTGACATATGCTTAGACACACACTTTAGTAGGAAAGACATACAGATCAGATTTGCTCTCCTGTTTAACAGCTGTACAGGCTGACATCTTAAAAGAGCATCTGGAGAAAACGTACAAACCTTTACCATATGCAATACACATCCCCAGAATAAATACTGCAGGACAATACTCTGGGACAGATATTCATTGGTATAAAACAACAATGTGCACAACTAAGGATCTGTGCATCTTTATTCCCAAAGTATGGAGAATTTTTCAGAGATTTACTGTTTAACCACAGGCAAGTCACTTTGTTACTCTGTGCTTCTGTTCCCCGTCTGTAAAATGGGCATAATGTACTTCTCTACCACTCATGGGGATGTTAAGAGGATAAATATATTAAAGATTAAAAAAAAACACTTGGATACTACCATATTGGGGGCTACCTAAGATAGAAGATCCAAGCAAAAGTGTGAAACCCATTTAGCTCTTAACCTGAGAGCCAAGGAGGTAAAAGGATTGCTTTGTATAATATCCCTCTGTTGCTGGCAAATTTTACCTGTTTTACAACCTTGTGGGAAATAATGGCAACATGCAGAGAACACTTTTTCTTTAGGGAGAAGGAGAGTAAGAGGAAAGGTTCATGGAAAAATACATTCCCTTGACTAAAATCATTCTGTGCCTCCCTTGACATTAAAGGTAGTTAAATCACATATCATATTAAGAGTTCCCTTTATCAAGGGCTAACAAATGATTAAAGGATGTTTTAATAAACGGTTAATCAATTCTTACACTCTTCAAAAGTCCAAAGACCTGTATAATTGGTACACTCCAGCTGATGCGATTATAACCATCTATAGCTATTCATGAAACACACGTAAAATATCTATTAATCATTTATTGATTTCTATGCATGTTTACCCATATAGCCAGTGGGACTGATCCTCTTGCCAGGCTCCTGGGCAAGGCAGTTGGAGGGTGGGGGGCTAGCCAGATGGGACAGGGCCTCATGTGGAAGTGGTGGAGCTGGGGCTAGCTTTTCTCAGGCAGGCTCAGCATCACCCAGAGTGCACCATATGGGGCAATGATTTAAAGGATTTGAGGCTCCAGCTACCACCATAATAGCAGCAGCTGGGAGCCCTTTTGAATTGCAGGTCCCTAGGGCAGTTGCCCTCTTTGTCCTCCGCCCCCTACCCCATCAGCTGGACAGTATATAGCTATATATAAATGGTAGCTTACCATGAAGTGTAATTGATATTTATCTGAGATTTTCACAGCACTCTGGGGATTTAGACTCGCATATTCTGCTCATGGTAACGAAAGCTGTGTCTAAACCTCCCAACACTGCTGTGAAAATCTTGACTAGTTTTGTTAATGAGATGTTTCTCCTGCATAATTCAATTGCTGCTACTTGATCTTTCTATGGAGATGGTTTTAAGAAAGCTCAGTCTGTTGTCATGGTAGATGACTGTGATGTTACAAATTTCATATTCTGACCTCACTGAAGAACCAAGAGAGGAAGATGGTACCCATCCTGATTGTATAACTGTAGTTTCTATAAGCCTTCAATAAATAATAATTATAATTCATAGAGGGTGAGATTTTCACATGCACATACATGATATAAGAGTTTTTGAAAACCCCATCCATGATGAGCACAAAATGTAAAGGATGCAGCAGTTCAAAGATGGGAAATATGGTGGGAAGCCTTTTTAAAGGTTATATAAGTAAACAGACTCTTTAAAACACAACTCCAAAATTAAGTAATTTTCTTTAGATCTTAGCAAGGAAAGGCTGGCACATTGGTCCTACATTGTGACGAATAGATTGGTTCTTCAATATATCACATAGTAAGTCTTCAGCCTAATTGCAACAGGTTCTAAAGATGAATTTCCTGCCAAAGGCTAATATTGCTATGCAACTGAGTGCATTCTCTCTCTCTCTTAGAATATATATATATATATATATATATATA